GGCTGCTGAGCCTTCATCCCCCAGACCATGTGGGGGCTGCTGAGCCTATGGGTGTCTTAGGTACACACATCCTGCTCTCACCCTCTTCCCAGAAGCAGGGCCTGGGTGTGATACAGAGAAGATGCTGGGGTGACAGCCCTGGTGAGGAGCTACCACCTTCCCCTTATCCTTCAGGGTCCCTCTCAGGGGCTCTGTCAGTTTCCTGTCAGAGTCAGAGCTGGCCAGCACTCACTCCTTCTCTCTTCCTTGGTTTAAAGGCTCTGTGCCTGTGGAGCCAGGTGTGGGAGGCGGGAGCTGACGGTTAAAGGCACAGCACACTCGGGAGGAGGCATCTCCTAGGCACAACCCCCCTGCTGCCTGTGGGTAAGAGGGCAGGAATGCTGGCAGTTGTGTGCAGGGCTGGTGACAAGGGTCTGCAGCAGGGAGGCTATGGTGATGGGTCACTCCAGGGAAGAAGGGGCACCCGAGGGCAATGCTGGAGACAGGCAAGTCCCAAGTTGCCGGTCCTAAGGCTGGCAGTAAATGGCATGTGGCTCTGCTCTTCTGGGCTTGGTGACATAGTTAGGGGACAGGGAATTTACTGTGGAAGGGCGTCTGTGACCTTATCTGTTCAGGACAATCAGGCTCTGTAGAGACAGCTGACTCTACCTGGCAGCCTCTTGGGGAGAACTCCTCTTGAGCCTTCCACCAGTGGGCTGGCTCACCGGCCCCTGTGGGCTGGCTCACTGGCCCTGCTTCTAGAACCTGAGTCCCTAAAGAAGTCCAGGACCTATGCCACAGAACAACGGACAAGGTCCCTGCCAGCTAAGACGACATTTCTAGATCTCTCTGGTAGCTTCTCCTGACATCACCCAGGGTTGCTAGTGGTAACTACTCAACACACACAGAGACCCCTGAGCCTTTGTCTTCATTTTGAATTTATACATTCCTGTTGCCTCTACGCAGAACAGGTCTGACACTCCCTGTAGTCTGGGACAAGTCCACAGGGCACGTGACCCTTCTTTGTGAGTGGTGAAACAGAAGAGTCTGGCATGTCCTGTCTGTGGGCCCCATCAGAGGATCAGGGCTCTTCCTCAGTATGAAGCTGGGGGACTCTGTAGTACTCCCTCAGGACACTGGTACACTCCTTGGTTCTTGGAAAAGGTTCTGCTTGGGCTCACAAGAAGCCAGGCCAATATCTCTTCCCATGATGACACCTGGGAGTGGGCTGGAGTCATTTATTGCTTTTAATCAGAGTTGTCTGACATGGCGGGGGGAGGAGGGGAGGGAGAAGCTCGGAAGGGCCTGTGAAAACTGCCAATAAAGATGATTTGTTTCAGTTCTCACAGTAACTCAATTCCGACATTCTTCCTGCTCCAGGGCACCACAAATCTTTCCAGTCCCAGCCAGTCAGAGGGAAGCATCGACCTAGTTCCTCTTTGCGCCTTAGCCTCCGACCCCAGCATGCCAGCTCATCCTGAGGTGTCAGAAGCCGCTGGTGTGCTGAGGCGTGGTGTGGGGAACCCTCGAGTTGGCTGAAGTGGTGTCGTGTGCTGGTGAGGGCCTTGGGACAGCGCAGCTGCTGGATGTTGGCTCGGGTGCCTGGTAGGCAGTCACTCAGGCAGTGGGAGCAGGCAGCTGTGCCACTGTAGGGAGGACACTGGGTGAGGGCCAAGGAGTAGCCATTGCAAGGCAAGACTTAAATTTAGTTTGCCACCACTGTTTGGGATGCTACCTGTGACATGGCCGTGCTCCAGGGCTTGGCCACAGCCAGCATGAATCTGGAACGAGGCCAGTGGAGAAATTCTGCAGCTGTCTGTTGCCTGACCTTGGCCTTGGGTCTGGAGAGAAGGCAAGACCTCGTGGTTGGCTGGGTTTGGCCTCAGGTGCTGATTACTCCTTCTCTGCTCTCTGGAAGGGAGCTAGGGGAGCCTCAAGTCCCCAAGAGCTGTGAGTAGGTGACAGCCTGCTTGTTCACGGTGGCTGCCTGGACCACTCTGGCTGGGTCCCACAACTCTAGTATCTATCCTCTAGCATGGTCTTCCACGGGCTGCTTACTTACCCCGGGCCTTTCTAGAACTTCCAGGATAGCCCAGCCATAAGTAGCCTTATCTGTTAATGTGATGGCAGAGATTAGTGACCCAGCTGGGCCTGACGGTGCTGGCCTAGAATCTCAGCTACTCAGGAAGCTGAGGTAAAAGGATGGCAAGTTCACAGCCAGGGCTGGGCTGTACAGGGAGTTCAAAGCCGGCAATCACTTGCTGCTCTTGCAGAGGATCTGAGTTCAGATCTCAGTACACATCTCACAACTGTCTGTAACATCAGTTGGGCACACACATGTGGCACACACTTACACAGACAGATATATTTATCTTTAAGAAGGGAAGGCAAAGAGGGCTGCAGTCGGAGCTCAGTAGTAGACTGCTTGTCTAGTACGCACAAGGACTATAGTAGACATATGGGGATTTAAATACACCACACACGCACACGCACACACGCACACACACACACACACGCACACACACGCACATGCACACACACGCACACACGCACACACACGCACACACGCACACACGCACATGCAATATTCTTCCCCTCCCCATCACACTTTCCCAAAACTAAACCTGCCCTGGAGGAGCACTTTGTGCAATAGCAGCTCCTTGATAATCACCTGAGGGGGACAGGCTCATTCTTGTTTCCCTTTTCCCTCCCTCTCCTTAGCCACACTCGGCCGCACTCCGCACTGTCTGTCAAAAGTGCCTCAGCTGTGGGGACAGCATAAAAGGCTGCTGGATCTGGTTAGGGAAAAGCACAGCACCCATGTCTAAACAGAGATGGAGTAACTCTGGAGGACCTAGTCTGCCTCCAGGGAACACAAGCCAGACAGAGACAGGGACACTCTTTGAGGCAGAGGAAGTACACAGAGGCCTGAGGGAGAGCCCCAGGCAAGTCCAACAGAAGAGTCCCAGTGACTGCCACCGTCTGGAGCACACTCAGAAGGCACTGACCCGGGAACACAAAGGGGAAGGGAGAGTGTGGGCCTGGCTTTCAGTGACGTTCAAAAGATGTCTCCAACTGGACAGACACCGAGAAAGGAAGAACATGGGGGGCTGGAGGCTCCAATCCGCAGAGGTCCCAAGACCAAGTTACAAGAGTAAGCCCCACTCTCCTGGGGCCAGATTCCTTTGTCCCTGGGACCTCCTGCCTTCCCTGGTGCCAGGGGAGCCACAGAGTTCACTAACTATCTTTTGGATTGCTCGCCCCGTCCCTGGGGAGGCGGCTGCTCCAAAAATTCATTAGGTCTGCTAACAAGTCAAGGTGAAATAAGATGACAGGCTGTGAGGGACAGACAGTGCGGAGGCACGGAGGGGACTGCTGGGCCACCCTGGACGATACCCACTGCTCACCTCCAGCTTCAGGGCAGACACAGATGGACACGGAGGTGCTGAGTGGCCCCCTGGCATCCAGCCTGTCCCCATCAGAGGTGCAGGGGTCTGCCCCTGAGCACAGCCTGCAGCTCCTGTGTGGCAGTGCCAGGTGTCCTCATCTCTCCCCATCCTAGGCTAAGTTGAGAAGCTCTATATGCACTTGCTTTCCGCACCGGAAGTCACACTCCAAGGGGTGTGGAGAAGCATCGAGGAGCCAGGGAGGACTCAGGAGCTGGTGAGAGCTTAACATCAGGTCACATGGGGACAGTGGGCCTGGGCCGATCATCTGTGTAATGAGGGGGCAGGAGACAACTGTGCTGGTTTTGTATAACCTGAGACTTGGCCTTTATCACTCACTCACTAACAGACTCGCTGAGGGTCTGCTGAGCGCTGGCACTATTCTGGTCACTCAGGGGAAGTGCACAGGGCAGGCACAAGCCTTGTCCTCGTGGAGTCCAGAGTGAACCAACAGGTGGAAGGTACCAAAGACAATCACAACAGAAGAAGGAACTGGATAGTCACCTTACTGGCAGGGTGGAGAACAGTCCAGGTTCAAGAGTGGAAGCCCACCTTGGAGAGGGGAGGGAGTCAGTGCCAGGTGCCAGAGGGTACATGAAGACCACCCTAGCTGCTGTTCCCAGCGTCTGTGGCTGTGTCTACACTTGCTCCTGGCGTAGGAGGGCAAAGAGGACTTCTTACAGAGCAGTGATGAGGAGCCCGCTGCCCCTCCAGCTTCCAGGCTCCCAGTCCCTCACTCTGCCTGAAGCCACGAGCTGCTCACAGGCAGACTTCTGACAGCTGATCTAAGTTCTACAAGCTGGCCTTGCCATATTGATTCACCTTGAAGCACAGCTTGCTCCCTGAGCATCTAACTCCTTGGAGGGAGGGAGGAGGAAGACAGGTGCAGAGAGCAAGCCATTATCTGAGAGGCTGAGACAAAAACAGGTGCTGCTTAGGTGCCTTGAGTGACCAGCTCGGAGACGGAGACGGGAGACCGCACATTTCCCTGTGTCGGGGAGTTAGGGCAAAACCAATCCGGGCACTGAGCCACCCAACAGCATCTGGGTGGCTTTCTTCCCTCCTTTCTGTTGTCAAGAGCCAGATAAATGCCCAGAGGAGCTGTCTGACCCAATGCTGTCTGTCTGTCTGACCTCAGAACATCTTCTTGGCAGGGAGAAAGGGTAAGCCACACCCTCTTGGATATGTGCCAAGGACAGAGGGTTGCTGCTTCTTAAGAGCCTCAAAATAAACAAACATCAGGCCTCCTGAACCCACACCTTGCCAGCAGGCCCTGCCTTCCCGGGACTCACCCCAGGGCAGGGAAGAAGACTGAGACCAGTGACTGTAATATCAGGAGTCTGACATTAGGGCAGAGTTGTCAGAGACCGTTCTTCATGCCCTGGGAACATAGCCTGGGGCAGCCATCTAACAGCCAACTTGCATTGGAGGTGTGGAGA